TGTTTTGCGCAAATAACAGAGAGCAGTCCCGAAACTCCCATTTTAGATCGAAAGAAATTCGTTGCTATACGTCTGTGGAGAAATTTGAGCTGGAAGTGCCTTATCTTAGTACTGAACGTACACAGCCCTTGTGGTAAAAAATTGACTTTCAGCTAAAATCCTCCACCACTTCAAGGTCACAGTCCCTTACCCATTTTTCTTGACTCTTTCGGGGGCTAGTAGAAATTTTTTGTATTAGAATTATATACGCTAATTTAGTCGGCTTGGTTGCTGCAATCAATTTTTGCACCGAAAACCCCTGATCCTTTCCATTTGGTGTTTTCAATTTCAGAGATTTCATAGCGCTCCTTATGGCCGAGGTCACTCCATAAAATTCAAGGAAAAAGGGAGATAAGCACTATTTCTCTCTAAACTCTCCATAAGTTATGACCTAAAAATCGTCGTGAACAAGATCTTTGATAATTTGTACACCAGCTTCTGCCCAGTGCTTGTTAAAGAAAAGAAAAGACCTATTAGCAATTCTAACTAATGAGTTATACCATATTAATACTACTACTACAAAAGTCATGTTTGGAGAGGAAAGAGTCTCTAAAATTAAAGTCCACCCAGATTTCGATAAGTTTTCGAAGGAAGTCCTCCTTGATGTCATGTTTGGTAGAGTCTTGTTTTTCTAAGTTCCCAAGAAAAACTAATTTTCCTCCCCATTGTGAAAGAAAGAAATCCCCCAAATTTTTCCATTTGGATTTACAATCATCAGAGATATAGATATACTTTACTATCCACGCGATCTTTAAAGACTTATTGAATGCCATGATGTCCAACATTTTTTGACCACCATCACCATAGTCAGCAATCATTTCAAACCGTTTGATTTTGGCTTTTTTCCGTCCCAGAGAAATTTGAAAAGTAAAACATTTATTTCTTTTAACGATTTAAAACACGTACGTAATGAGGACAAAATGTAGACCAATTGGGATGCAGCCAACGTCTTTATAATTGTAATCTTTCCAGGAAGCGTTAATCTCTTGTTTTTGCCAATTGTTAAGAATATCTTCAACTTTGTGAACCTTGTCTTCATAATTCATTTTCATTTCTTCATTTTGGTCCGTACAAAACCAAACACCTAAGGCCTTGACTTTACCATCCGCCTATTTCAAGTTCTTTTTCTGGGCACATAATTTGATTTTAGCCTCTCTTTGATCGTATCCAGAGAACTTCGGTTTTTCCACAGTTCACTCGCAGGCCAGGCAGTTGACCGAAACAAAAGACCTCTCAAGTGACGCTTGTGAACCATCTAATATCATCGTGGTGTCGTCCGTATAGTGACTTAATTTACACTCGAAATTTCCCACAGAGATTCCTTTTATCTCATTGTCTTCACGAGTAGCTGTAGCACACCTCGACACAGAGGATAAATAGGTAAGGCGAGA